AGTTCGATTCGAGAGGGTCACAATGTTTGTTTGTTCAGGTACCTACTTGCACAAATGGATTTCCTTTGAATGCCCAACTACTCGCCATTATCCATATATATTCCCGATCTGGTCTGGTTAGTGTTCCTGGCTGGATCCGAAGATCCCCACCCGCCACTTGGTCAGGTGTAATCTCTCACTGCAAATCATCCGATGGCGCTGCAGACTTCGTCTGGGAAATCTTCTTCATAATTCTTCTTCTTGGGCTGCGGATGCGAAGGAGTCTGTTTGGTTTTCTTTGGAAAATTGCACGATTCTTTGGGCTTTTGTTTTTGCTAATAATAACAAATAGCAGCATCAACAAGAGCCCCCTGACTAGTGGCAGCTGTGCTCTTTTCATTTTCATTTTCATCCTCGTTTTATTTTTCTCTTTTTTGGTTTCGTCGCTGTTGGACTAGAAAATTTCGGGTAATATTTTATGGCAATTGATGGTCGAGGAAGAGACTTTTCGGTGAATTTATGTAACGCACTTTCCTCCAGTGGTCAGTGCTGTTGTTTTTTTTTCTTAATAGAGGTTGTGGGGGGGGGGGGGGTTCACTTGCGCAAAGTTGAAATAAACAATAACAAATTGCGCTTGATTTGCTTTATGATGTTTACATGAGGCCCAGTGGCTTGTTGTGTGCCAGTACTTTGGTTTGAGTGAATGCGAGTGGGTGGTGCTTAATTAATTTCTAGTTTGCCGAGCAAAGGAGCGTTTTAAGACTACCTGGAATTGCACACAAAGAAAAATCCATTTGAAACTGTTAATGGTTAAATAAAACTTAAATAATAATAGATTCTTGGCAGCGTTTGCAGGTAAACTAGCAATAGGAAGTGCAGACATTATTAATAATAATATTAGGAATATTTGCAACAGGAAGTGCAAAGTTTCTTTCGATCCAATCGATCAACACTCCAACTTTTTATTTCTTTCTGTGTGGTAATGAAAAATGGCAGGTAAAACCAAATCGAAAGCCAGAAAAAATGTGCGAATTAAATGCAAAAGGGTCGGAGGTTGGAGGTTGGAGGTCAATGGGGGTGATGCTGAGGAGAACAAACACACACTCCACGCATTTCGTCTACAAATAAAAGCCAAACCATACTGCGAATGATTGATTTAAAAATACCCGTGCCTGGCAGATGCCATAAAACATACCTGCAAATGTGAATAAACATGGATATATATTCAGCACATACGCACACGAGAACATATACATTTATTTATGTGTACTCAACTGTTTAATAGGTCGTTCAATGAGGTAACTTCGAATCCGTGTGCAGCCCGCAATTCGTGTTAAATCAATGATCTAATGATTGGATAATAACCTTAAATCACCAGTTTCACTGTAGAGTAAATATCGCAGGAAAATATGAACCAATAATTATTGGAATAATAATTGATGTTAACGATGCCAGGAGGCAATGAATTTACTCCTGCTGCATAATAAAAATAAACGTTTCCTCTGTAAATCTCAATTCCATGGGAAGCTATTAAAAGAATCAAGTTAAAATACGAGAATATCCACAATAAAAGGCTTCATAACAATATGCTAACTAAATGTAATTTCATTTCGGCAGCCAGATTTCAATAATTAATCCAAAATAATTGGTTTGCATGTAAACTTGACTCACTTTCACTGGAATCGCAGTCCCCTGCTGGCACACTATATACATCAGGTAGCCAGTCGTTCGTCGAGTGATTCATTTGCGGACCACTCTCATTAGGAGCCCATTTATTTCGGGAAACCCTGACCTGAATCGCTCTGGATAAGCCAGTAGTAGTGACGCTCTGCATGAGCTCTTTGTTCACCCTGGCCAACTGATTCGGGTCACCACTTGAAGATGGTTAAATCAAAAGGAGATAGGGTGAATCATCGGGCCACTGTGCTCTCAATAATTAAATGGAAATGGAAATGCAAATGGCTCTGGGGAAATCCTTACCCGACCATTCGAAAATGAAGCCACTCGAATTTATCCCTCTGCCGCCGCGTCATAATGAAAATTCATAATCTTTAGCTCGGCCAGTGGACCGCAGGAACGGGATGAAAAACCAGAGGAAAACGAATTCGCACAAATGGAAAATGAGAAGAAAATCCGGCCGGAGCATATGGAATGCACTGGGGGATGCGGATGGGATCCGGATACGGGGATATGGGGATACACGCCAATGCCAATGCCAATGCCGTGCACTGATATGGGATGTGTAATGAACTCGCCGCCTCGCATTCCACCTCGCGCCACCCCGCTTTTTTCTGACTTGCTCATTTTAACAATATCCAAAAGCCGAAAGTCCCAAGTCCCACATCCCATATCCCACATCCCATATCCTATATCCCATATGCCCCAGGTCCATGGACCATCCAACTGGCCCACACTCTGTTGTTCGCTGATAGCGCGGCACAACTCGCATATTGTTGTCATATTGTTGGCCTCAAACCCACCGAATGTCGCACTGTGAAACCAAGTTTATTAAAAAATCTTTTCAGTTAGTTATTGAGGGAAGCACAATTACAGAAATCAATTATCGATTTTATATACAACTGCCATGATCCCCTCATTTTTATAAACATATTTTATTCAATATATTAGCTGAGGTTGTAAAAATGTATATTTTCATGTTATTTAAATATCACTTCCGAAAAACAAAACATATTTTTTTCTTGGAATATTTTTGGCATATTGTAGTGAGTGCTGGGGAGTATATAGATTTTTAAATACAATTAAGCAGTACTTCTTACCTTACCTAGATACAGAAATAAAAATTCATCCTCTTACCCTTGTAGGTACTGATTTTTGTTAAATATAAATAAATATTGTAGAAAGTGCAATTGATATGATATGATTCTATATGAATTGATGTTCTATATTCTGACATTTTCGAATATTTCGTTCCCATATTTATTTTATTAAAATAAGAAAAATGCCAAGACATTAGTTCAAAGATACTTTTGGGTATCAATAATATGGTTTGATTCAAAAAAACATTTTTTATAAAATATCTATTAAAATGTATCTTTCGGTGGATTATAGCCATCTTTTGTTTCTGTTGCAGAAAAATAGAGAAAACTTCCATTTCTGAATTTTAAAAAAATAATATAAATGGAATTGTGAAAGGTACAATCTGCCTTTAGACTTTAGATTTTTCCATGTTTTCGACCCACTGTGCCATTCGCCGACTATGAAACGCCCGGCGGGCAACAATGGACACACGGAATGGTTCCTCTTGTTGCTGTTGTTGCAAGTTATTATTGTCTGTTGTCGTTATTGTTGTTGCTATCATCCGGATGTGTCACTGTGTGCATATAAATCGCATTTAATTTATTGTAAATCGGATTAAATTACCAAATGTTGCACGAACGCACGAAACGAACACGGGATATGGGGCATGGAAGTGGGAGCGAGAGGTTCGGAGAGTGGGAGCAGGACAGGAGGATAAACTGCAGGCCTAGTTTAACCCATTAAGTTTCAGGGGTAGAAATTGGACAGGTTACTTCGGAACTTTTGAATTCATCTAAAAATAAAAATAAGCTTTGTGATTTTGGGTATCGATCGTTTTATTTTTTAATTCCTTACATAAATATAAAGTAATAATATAATTTTTGAAAAAATTAAAGTATATTGTGTTCACAGTCATGGCAAAATAATCTCTCTCTTTGCATTTGTGAACTTCACTAATGGGTTAAACATTATGTGTGTGTATTCAGAACTTGACATGCACCTTCGTCTACTCTTTCAGCCCCTTCCCCTTTACACTCTCCTTCCAATTCCATACACAAGTTAAATCTTTAAATATGCAACAGCTTTTGGCCAAGACCCATTAAATGCGGCCAAAAGCGGCTTATTAACTAAACAACCCACAGGGAGAAGGCCCAGCTGAAGGAACAGAAACGAACCTTAGAGTCCTTCATAATAGTCTCAAACCGACACATATGACACAAATAATCCCCCGAAATAAGGACAAGAATCGTGAAATAAAGGATAAAGAGCTCGCTTTCTCTGTTTCTGTTCTTCTTTTTGACAGAAGTGGCCGGTCCTTTACCGCCAAAAATATATAAAATGTTTACTTTATATAAGTTCTGAATTAAGGTGCAGAGAGAACAAAAGAGAGAGAGTCCCAAAAATAATCAGGATTTAAAATCTGTCTATAAATGTAAAAATGGGTGGAAAAAATAAACGTATGATTCGTGATTATATTTTTTGTTTTGGATTTTGCAGTATCTATATATTGTTATGATCGTATAGTGAAAGTCTACCATTAATATTGTAAAATCTTATTAAAATAAGATTTAATTTTAATAATCAGGCGATAGAGAGCGATAGTGCTTCAGAATATACAAATGATCCACGCCAGATTGCCAAAAGTGTATGAGTAATTTCAGTTCCACCTCGAATGAATTACATTTTTTTGCAATGCGGAGTAATCGGACCACTTGCATTGTTCCATTGCCCAGTGATTCAGTGAGGCAAAGGGAAGGATGGCCTTCAACCATAATGCCGGGCGGGCCCATTTGCACTCTCATTTGCAATTAACCGTGTGCGGACGGACAAGAAACGGACAGCGAACGGACAGCCGTTAACTGGTGCACTCCATTCGCCGGGAAATGCGGATATACTCGTACGTGCACGAATACTCGCACCGTAATCGTATCTGTTAATGTACATTTCCACGGCTCATAAACGAATCTTTTGCTGCTGCAAGGACGGTAGCTTGGGGGCGAAAATCACCGGTAGTGGTAGTGGGCAATGGTGCAGAAATCAGAACTTGAAAGACTTTAAGTAAAACTCAAGTGGACCAGATTGGCGATTCCAGCGGCGATTGCCGATTGGCGATTGCCATTTGGCTTTGAAGTGCCGTACCGCGTCCATTAAGCTCTCAGCACGCTCCGAAATAATTTCATCAGCATCTGCATCTTGTTTCCTCCGTCCGATATTTGTGATACAGCCAAGCTAATTGCCCGTTTGCAAATCTCTTTCCGTTGCAGCCTGCGACTGCCATCCGATCGGGTCATCTGGCAAGGTCTGCAACAGCACCAGCGGTCAATGTCCCTGCAAGGACGGGGTCACCGGACTGACCTGCGACCGCTGCGCCCGCGGCTACCAACAGAGCCGCTCCCACATCGCCCCCTGCATAAGTGAGTATATCTATCTATATCTTTATTCTATCTACATCTTAAGGACTGCGACTTCAACTACTCATATAACTATAAAGGTGCCTAAAAATATGCAAATATATATAACTCGGGATTCCAATAGATACTTGGCGAAATGTAACGTTATTTTTTACTGCATACTTTTAGGCACCTTTTTAAGTGATTTGAAACCCCAAGCGATTTCTGTGACACCCCGAATAATTATTTCCATGCCTTTGATTTTTAAAAGTCTTAAGTAAAATCTACAAATTTTTAAGAACTTATTATAGATTATTTTAAATAATTTTATAGGATATGTTCATTTAAGGCTACTATGTATCCATAAAACTCTTTCTCGTTAATTACGCTAGGTTAAGTTCAGAAGGCACTAAGCAGATTCCAGTGAATAAAAAAAAAAAAATGATATGTTCAACCTGTTCCATTTTTAATATTTTTACTATTACTTATTATTGAACATAGTGCTGCAAGATAATAATACAAAATATGTTTAAAGATATTGAACCATGTATACATGGTACTATAGTACTAACTTTTTTTTAATCTCCAAGATTTGGTTCTAAATTTGTAATAGTAAGTAATTTTTTTAGTTAAAGAAGTTCTTTTAGAATGCATTTAAACATCATGTGACAAACACTTTCCCTCCCCGCAGAGCAACCCCCTCGAATGATCAACATGCTGGACACCCAGAACACCGCTCCCGAGCCGGATGAGCCCCAATCCTCGCCAGGATCCGGCGGCGATCGCGGTGGCGCCTCCGGAACGGCCGCCCAAACCCAGTATTATCGCACCGAGGGCGGCAGGGGTAAGTAAGTGCCTCCTCTCATATCCATATCTTTCTGTTGTGTTTTGTGTGCTAACCGACTAGCCGGATCCCAACTTATCCCAACACTTCCCCCTTCCCCACTTCCACCATCCCCACCTTGACACCCTGTTGCGAGTGCTTATACTAACTGGTGGTATTGTTTATCTGCGGTTACAGTGCAGTCTCGGTAAGGAGGACCCCGAAATTGGGTAGTAAGAAATCAAGAAATCAGTCTTACGTTTTAGCATAACGAGGATTAGCTTCAAGTTTCATATTATGTATTTATGTATTTATATTTATAGTCTCTTCTGAAAACAAATTCCATAAGAATTTTTTTCGATTTCCGGTTGGCATATATTTCTTTAGCGTCTTAAATGACCAAATGGACTTGTTTTAAACAAATCTGTATTGCAAACTTAGATAACGTAATAGTTACTTTCTCAAGTTTGAATAACTGTGATTCTAAGGAATAAAGATAATATATTATAAAGAATTTTCTTATAAACCTATGTAAATTGGCATAGGTTTCTAAAAAAAATTCCCTATAATATATTATCTTTATTCCTTAGAAATCGACTACTGATGCTAAATAGATGCCTCTACTTTTAGAGATCAATAAAACAAAAACTACTAGTGTCGGTTTCCAACAGTTTCCAGCACAGCTCTAAGCTAATTAAATGGAAACGCAATTAATGCTCAGATAACGCCATTATCGGGGGCCCACTGTCCAAGGCCCGCGGCAAAGGAGGCGCTTAGTTTGCCGTGGCGCTTGGCCCGCCTTTGTAATCCTTTCAAATGGGTGAGAAAACACAAGTCCGCTAAAGTGCAGTCGGTTGTCGGTCAGGAAAAGTGGAAGCGGAAAAACAAGGAGCGGCATAAGGAGCAGGCGAGGGGGAAAGAGACGGGGCGAGGGTAAGGGAAAGAGATGGAGACAGCGGCACTTAACAGACAACGCAAATGTTTGCACGCAACTTTTAGTTACAGTGGCGAAGAAAGTACAGTGTGGCCCCAGAGAGAAGAAGAAGATGGGAGGGGAGGGGAAGAGGGGAGGGAAGTGCAACAAGCATACAAAATGCGCCACGCAGCATAAATCATACTAAGCCCAGTTCTACCCCTCTCCATCCCCCCCGCCCTCTTGAAGCAAAACAAACTTCACAATAAAATTCCAAGAAAAAAAAAAAGACAGTTTCGATTTACGGGTGCCGACTTTAAGTTATCCCAAGCTAGGATTTTATATTGATTTGGAATTTCTTTAAAGTAAACAAAGAAGAAAGCGATTTTAATATAATATATAATATACTCTAATATAATTACATAATGTAATTACATAATGTAATGTTGTAATGTAATGTGTTCAAAACAAGTCTTTAAAAAGTGGAGAAGTATCAAAAACAAACCTGATTTTATATATATTTTATATTTATATTTAAGATGGTTGGTAAGATATAATTTCAAAAAATATTTAAACATTATCTGGGTTCCCAAATCTTATATTTCCAAATATTAATGTTACAATGGAGATATTTGAATAGGCTATAAAGTCACAACCGGATGCAGTATTACATTAAATTTGAAAGTCAATGTAGCTATCATTAAGAATTGCTTATTCTTATCCCGAATTAGGCATACCCTTTATAAATACGAGTACAGGGTATTAAAACAGCGGCATCAACAGTGGCAACAATAACAAAGAAGAACCCTAAGAAACATCACAAAAAGATACAGAACCAGAAAAAAAGGATGGGCGATGTGGAAAATGTAGAATGACAGAGAGCAGGCGAAACTTGGCAGAGCAAATGTATTAAAAAAGTTTTTTATTTAATTTCCCATGAATAAGCTGCAGCAGCAGCAAGAGCAGTCGCCCACTTTTCGGTCCCACTGTGTCCAGTTTCAGTTTCAGTTTCAGTTCCAGTACCATTTCTTCTGCCTCCGCCGCTAATTGCTCCCAACTATTTGCTGAAGGCATTAGGCAAAGTCAGCGCAGGATAACCGAAGGGGGGTGGGGGGATGGGTGTTTTGCAAGGACGACAGGATGAGCCGTTTATGCAGCTGCAAGTGGAAACAATGACAAATTGACTGAGCAACTTAAGCAGCCACGGGAAATATAAGCGCCGACTTAATCATAATAGCGTCACATTGTCATTGTCAAATGACCAAATGAAAACGCACCAAGAAAGTGAGGAATTAACATACTACGAGCTTCACTTTTATGAAAACTCCTAGAAATTTCAAATTATTTTTATTAGCTTTAGACAAATCTGTTTTGAAGAAATTTTACCCAAATTTCCTAAAAAGAAGTCAAAGTCTGCAATGAATGAAACATTTTCTTAAAATGAGTCAAGCCTTTTTTTTAATTTTTGATTTAAAAGACCATCATGAAAGCTATGAAAGTGTTTTCTTAAATTCCTGAAAAAGTTTCTCTAGGAAATATTTATTGAGGGACATCAAAAACGTTTTTGAAAACTCAGCTTACATGTTCTTGACGAGTTGTATATTTAATTTATAAACATTTTTTAAAATGTAAATTATAAATGGACATTTTCAAAAAAATGTTATAGGACTAGAGTCTTAGAGTCCGATTGCGTTAGCTTCTGTGATTTTCTGTGTTATAGGAATATTCAGCAATGAGGGGTATACAAATAAACTTAATATGATATGTGTTTGCCATTATTTTCTAAACCAACTGAAGCACCCACGAAAATTCCCTATCGCACTGTTTTAATTTGGCAACCATAAATCAGTGGCAACTTGGTTCGCACATTTCATTGAATATCCAAAAAGTTCCATTAGGAGCATTTTATTACTGGCGAACAAGTGGCTGGAGAAATAAGTTTACAAAATCCACAAAATCCATTAAAATTGCAACAAGATATGAATGGCTGCCAGACGCTGTGCCCCCAAACCCAAGTCCAAAATTCAGACCTAAACCCAAGCCGACTAGGATCAATTCCTGGCTGCAATTGTTGCATATCAAGTTGCCTCCGGCTGAAGGAGCAGCCACTCCACTTCGCTCCACTTTCCTCCACTCCATCTCCATACGAATCACTATCCATCTTGCCAAAAATGCAAATCTAGGTACAGACGAACTGAGAACTGAGAACTGGGGACTGCGTTTAAAGAGGCTGCCCCGCTTAAATTTATTTGTCAACGGCAAAGAAAAGCGCAAGTTGGAAAAGTTGTCGGTGGAAAGTTATCCGTTCCTTGTAACCAAGAACTGAGTTAGGCAAATGGACTCACAGACACGGGCTCGACGAAAAAGTTCGTCCTTTGCTATTCATTGGCACAACATGAGGGGGCGTGGCTGCCGCCCATATACCCCCCATCCCCCACCCCCCACCACTCAACACGAACATGAATGTTAATTATGAATTCATAATTTGATAATCTTATTAAATTAATTTAAAATTCTGTCCAAGTTTGAGTTAATTTAAAGTTAGTTGCCCCGCAGTGCGCTACTGGGGGTCGTGGGTCAATATTAATGGCATGTTAATTTGATGACTGGCGCATTTTCGGAAGATTTATGTTTGCTCAAAATTTGCACAAATGGATGCTAAAGTGCGGCGGTCGATTCCGATTTCCGTTTTTTAAAGCGCTACAATAAATTTAATAGCTTTTAAATTTAATCAAATAATCCAGCAGTATTTCGCTTTAAAATATACTGGTACGTTCGTTATCCGCATTTTTTAGTTGCTGGCAAAAGCAAATCTATTTTTTATGCTTTGTTAGCATATAAAAAAAATACAGCAAAATGTTTTCCTGGCTTTTTGAACTAAGTTACAATATAAATGCACGTACTTTTGCATAAAACATTGCTCTAATTTTAATGAAACAATAAGAGAATTTTCACATATTTTCCTAATCTTTACATATTCATAACATAATTAAGCAACACTGCGAGTTTCCTACATATTTTCTCACAATGCCTGAGAAATGCTGACCCACTTAAACACCTATAAAGTACGTATAGCATGGCCACCATTGCCAAAAGAGGGATTCCCGAGTGATGACTCAGAAATCTCTGATCTCCCAGCTTTATTTTCGGATACTTTAGTTCGCATTCGGGGCGTGGCAAATGATCTTTAAATGACGGCGATAAATATCGTTTGTTTGCTATGTGCATCGGAAAAATGCACTTTAATCGGTTGAGAGTGATGCTCCATAAATAGCCAAGGGAAAGTGCCATTTTCACTTTCGATTTCGATTTCGGATTCGTTTTAATTTCGACCTCGGCGATCGATTTATAAGTCGTCCGACTCATTTATTATAAATGTTTATGCCACAAACCGATCGAGAGTTGCCGCAATTGTGTCACGTTTGCTTTGACATTGCGATCGAGAAAGAAAGAGCAGCCATGCAAATTGCAATTCCCAGCCGAAGGAAAAACAAAGCAAAAACTTATTGGCTAATTTTAGTCGGCACAAAAGACGGCCCAAGGCACGAAGTCAAAACACACATAGAGAAATAGGATTCATTTGTATTAGATCTAAGTCCATAAGGAAATTGTTATAATTACTCTGATTTCAATATTAAAATATTGATGAAATATTGGGCATTATTAAGCTGATGTTGGTACAATATTTCGAGGAAAGAGTTTAGATTTTAATTGCAAATAAGATTGATCTCATTTAGATTTTGATTTAAGGAAAAGATCGTTTAGATCTAGTAAAATGAAGGATCACGTTGAATTATGTTACTTTCCTATTTTAATATGAGATAGTACGAAATGAAACCGCGAATTCTTGAGCTTATGCTAGTGCAATATTTCAAGTGGAATATTTCGAAATCGATGGATGGAGAAAAGCACCATTATTTGTTTCAGTGCAGGGAAATGGGCTGGCTGGCGGGGTAGTCTTAATGCAAAATTGATCGAGCATTACTGCTGTTGTTTCTGCCACTGTTTCTGCTAATTGGCATTGGCCATAAAGACATAAATTTTGCAATTAAATTGTAAACACCAAAGTGGAATGCCCCGTTCGAAGGACGCCTGCGAAAAGGGACGGCAATTGGTCATGTTTGAGGAATAGTAGGGATAGCACGCCCCATCAAATCCCACCCCTAATTAACTCCTAACACAATATCACTGCCATCCATTTGCCCGTTTGTTCAGCTTCATGTCATCTGTGAAATGTCGAAGAGATTGCTCGTCTTGTGTGGCACATTCCTCATCCCAGAGGACCTCGCATCGCGAACAACATTTGATTTGACTAGCTAATTGTAAACCCCACGTTTTCGTCCTTTCAGAATGCGGCAAATGCAGAGTCAGCACCAAAAGGTTAAACCTAAACAAGTTCTGCAAAAGAGACTACGGTGAGTTTCAATAAGTGGAAAACCTCTATAATTTATCTCACAAAATAAATCTGTTTCTATATATTCTTTGTGAATCTACCATAAGTTATATGTAATTAGGTGTGAATTTTGTATTATTTATGTTTAAATGCTAAAGTGGATAGTGTCTTAAACTTCACATGCTAATGAAAAATATATATTTAAATTAAACACATTTTTTTTATTAATTTATTACGGTATTAGAATTGTTTATGTTAATAGGAACATATAGCATTTGCTGCCAAAGCATATAGATTATGCTAAATTTACTTACATAAATCTTGGTTTAATCTTAGTAGTAAACAAACTGTTTTTTGAATTGGTTTTTATTAAGAATTTTCTTTTTATTGAATTGTTTCTTTTGTATTTCTTTTTAATTTCTTGTTAATTGTCAACTTAATCTTTTGCCTTAAAATCTTGTAAAATTTATAGTTGGTCCGGTTTACTTATTCTTTTGTTAAAAATGGTTTGTTTTGATTTTTTTTGTTTGGAAAAGTGATACTATATAATGTTATATTACAGTATATATGGATATTATAATAAAAATCGTATGTAACCCTGACTGACTTGCGAACTTCTGTCAGGTGCTAGTTGAAATGTGTAGTAATTCTCCAACTCCCCTTTATTTTCACCCCCACAGCAATAATGGCCAAGGTAATTGGTCGCGACACGAGCAGCGAGGCGGCCAGCAGGGAGTCTCCTCGGCGCGCAATGGATCCCGACGCGGCGGACTACGACATGGAGGTGGACCATCGGAGTACGCCGGAGTACGAGTCGCAGGCGGGGGCGGGGGCGGGGCCGGAGGCGGAGGCGGAGGACTATCCCAGCGCCAGCGAGGCGGTGCACTTCGATCTGCAGATCCAGGCCGTGTTCAAGCGCAGCAGGGGAGGCGGAAGCAGCGGCGCGGGGAACGTGTACGGAATGCCGAGTACAACGCTGAAACGCGGTCCTATGACCTGGATCATACCGACTAAGGACCTCGAGTGCCGCTGCCCCAAGATCAGAGTAAACAGGTGTGTATACCTTGAAAATTGACATCCGATAAGGTATATTTTACCTCAGAAAAAGATGGACAGACTAACATATAACATATAACATATAACAGTCTTCCTTTGAGATATAGTCGTAATTATATCATAAAACTGAAGATATCCCACTTTTATCTTAAAAAACATTTTAGTAAAACCTTATATGTTCGGTAATTTAATGAAAAAGAAGAAACTATGCCTCTTTGACAAAAATGTAGTATTCTATAAAACAAATAGTTAAACACTGGATTGTCGATTTTTCGATACAAATATTCTTTCGTTCCCACACACAAAAGTTAACTGCAACTTTAATATTGCTTATATAAGGTTCAGTTTTTATAAATATATGGACAATATATGAACAATATGTGGACAATATATGAACAATATATGGACAAAATATGGACAATATATGAACAATATATGGACAATATATGGACAATATATGAACAATATATGAAAAATATATGGACAATATAGGGACAATATAGGGACCATATGTCATTTTGATAATTTTTCAGGTCATTTTGTTTTATGAGTGAGAGTGTACATGGTTCTGATTTAGAAAGGTGAAATAAAACCGCAAAATTAGGTAGGGTTCGAAATACACCCTTCTCCACAAAAGTGATATGATAGCAGCATTTGTTTTTGCCAACACTTATCATTCATGTTCCATTCTTTCCAGATCCTATTTGATCTTGGGTCGGGATTCGGAGGCACCTCCCGGATACCTGGGCATCGGGCCGCACTCGATCGTCATCGAATGGAAGGAGGACTGGTACCGCCGCATGAAGCGCTTCCAACGGAGGGCACGATCCTGCGCGTAATCCCCCCCGCCGGGAAACCCCCCCCGCTCCCCATGTGTGTAGTCTCAAGATTCTAGACCTAAGAAACGATTAGAAACACGGAGAAATCAATGAAATCAATCAAATCGTGTCGCAATGGCGGTGTCTCTTAAACATTTTTTTGTTTTTTTTTTGTCGTCAAATTAACCGATTTTGTAGCAGTTAAAAATCAAACTAGCGGTATTTAATTTATTTAATTAACTTCAATTGTTACAATACCAATCGAACACACGAAAGTATCTATACATGTAATCTATGTAATCTATATATACGACTTGTATTATTCGCTAAGTTAAGATTCCTGTCAGCCCAGTTTAAGCATTTGTGAACAATTTACGTACTAGGGCAGTCTCAGCAGCAAATGGAGCGCCAGTAAGCAATAATTTATCTGTAAGGAACACTTTGATGCATGCATAACTCGCAGAAAATCGTAATTAATAAATATTGTACAGAGCAAAATGATGAAATGTTCTTTTTGGTTTTCGTTGGAATTTCAAACTTTTGGCGGGCAATTGGAAGCGTTGCCACTCTCGGTGGTAGTTGTCCTTGCCACCTGCAGCCTGTCGTTGCCACCTGCAACATGTCGTTGCCACCTGTAAGCCATCGTCGTTTCTTTCCGGATAACTAATTGGCGGTTTCCCATCCTGAGCTTTAAGAAAATTTCATCTGAAATGAATTTACTTGGTTTATTCATAAGCTGTTTACTTTTTCCATTGCGCACTGAAGTGAACATTTTTATAACTCGTAGAAAATCGTAATTAATAAATATTGTACAGAGCAAAATGATGAAATGTTCTTTTCGGTTTTCATTAGAATTTCAAACTTTTGGCGAGCAACTGGAAGCGTTGCCACTCTTGCTTGTAATTGGCCTTGCCACCTGCAACCTGTCGCTGCCACCTGCAACATGTCGTTGCCACCTGTAAGCCATCGTCGTTTCTTTCTGGATAACTAATTGGCGGTTTCCCATCCTGATCTTTTCGAAATTTTCATCTGAAATGAATTCACTTGGTTGATTCATAAGCTGTTTACAATTTCCAACGCGCGCTAAAGTGAGCATATTTGAATCAAATTTTAAATCTTTGACGCTTGGCGGGCAATTGCCGAGGTGGCAGCTCCTGACCGCGGAACTTATAGCGTTGCCAGCCGCTTAACTATCGCTTGTGCTTATCGATTGCTGACCAGATGTTCTGGGTTTTGTTTACATTTTTTATATTGTTTTACTTTCTTAACATGAAAGAAACTTTCGAATAATAGGACGATTGGAAAACATAGCACATTGCGCAGGATTGTCGCTGCTACAGGATAAAAAGGGTACAAAGTTCATGATGGCGCCATTTCTGCTGGATTTATTTTCGGAATGCCCCTCGGATTTATGTGGATTCAAAGATGGGGGATTCTTTGGGAAAGTGTCCTATAAGGTATTTACCCCTCACCCGATTTAAGAAAAGTATTTTTTTTTAATTTTAAACCAAAAATAGAAATATTTCTACAAGATTGTTTTAAGTAAATAAATTTTGTAAATATTATTTGTATTCCATACATTTTTATTTCATTTGCAATGTCTTTTTCATCAGAAAGTGCCTCTGTAATGTTGTATATTGGAATTATAAATATAATTAAAATACAATTAAATGCCTATTGAGTAATTAAGTTTAAAATTAAGTCCTAGTATTTAAGCTAACAAAAACTTTCCTAAGCCAAAAATCTGAATGCAAACATTTTTGCTTGCCCATTGAAATTTTTAGTCAAATTTTGATTAGCTGAAACCCAGAAATGTTTATATAGCCTTTGAATAAATATTTTAAATTATAATGATATACGAAAAGGTCACTTTGAACTAAATAGGGCACTATCAATTGTAACGTGATTAAGTAAACTGTACAAATATTATACAAATTTATTAAGATTTGAAAAAATTATATATTATTAAATAGTAATTTTAAATAAATTGTTTTAGATATGAGCGGTTTGGAAAAAGTGCAATATTTTTCAATTGCAAACATATCGTTCCTGATTTTAAAATCGAATAATCAGAAGTGAGGAAACCATTTATGATAAGGTATGTACTGATTGTTCATAATTCTGTATATTAAAACTAACGTCTTTCTTTTTGCAGGTAAAAGCCTATTTCCCGATTAACTGATTGAAAAGTATTACATACAAATCTACTAGATTTATATTAACTAAAACAAAAAAGTAAAGCTTAAACAAAAGTTACGAAAGAAAACAATATATGAACCAAAAAAGTCTAAACGAAATGATGAGGAATGTAATATATTCAGCATTCAGTTGGAATTTGTGCTTTGATTTGTTCGGTTTTCACAGTGTAACATAAAATAGACACATATTTTTTTTTTTTTTTTTTTTCGCGCGGAGTCCCACGGCCCACTTACCCGCCCAACCGACCGAGGGGCGCAGCCGTGTATCGTACGGCACGATTCGCGATAGGATAGACGCGAGATAGGAAAATAAAGGTAAAGGTCCGGGGAAAAAAAGTAATAGTTAGATCAATCTTGTGCCAATGAAGCAAGTATTAATCGTTTTAGGAGCGGCAGAGAGTCAAGATTTGATATTACAGGAAAAAGTCTATTATAGTCAGAACATAATACTCTGAAAGGCTCATGCAAGGCATAGTTAGATCTACAATGATTTAAAATTAGGGGTATATAATTTCTAGTTAATCTACTTGGCACAGAAAAGTTTAGCCGACTTAACAAGTCGGGGCAGTCAATATCACCATGTATAAGGTTATAAATGAAGATAGTACCAAGCATCGTTCTACGGTTGGCTAGGGATGGTAAATTAATCAAAAGAAGTCTACTAGAATAAGAAGGTAAGATAAGATTTGCATCCCAGTTTAGGCGCCGTAAAGCAAAAAGAAGGAAGTTTTTTTGTACAGATTCAATACGACCAATATGTATTCCGTATTGTGGACTCCAGACGGGAGACCCATACTCCAGAATCGGACGGACTAGCGAAATAAATAAAGTTTTAGTCAAATAAGGATCATCGAATTCTTTTGACCACCTTTTAATAAATCCAAGCACTCCTCTGGCTTTATTAACCATGGACGAAATGTGATTAGAAAATTTTAGTTTAGGGTCCAAGAGAACGCCAAGATCGTTTGCAAGAGTTATTCTATCCAAAGAGCTGCCACTTAACGTGTAAGTCGCGTATATCGGATTGGCCCGATAAAAAGTCATCAGCTTGCACTTGGAGCCGTTTAAATTTAGTAAATTATCTCGGCACCAGTTTTGAAAATTATCTAGATCGGATTGCAAGTCTAAATGGCAGGAAATGTCTTTATACTGCAGGCACAACTTAACATCATCTGCGTACATAAGTACGCGAGAATGACTTATAATTGAGGGAAGATCGTTAATAAATAATGTAAAAAGTAACGGACCCAGATGGCTCCCTTGTGGGACACCGGAGGTAACACGGAGAATTTCAGAAATTGAATTTTTAAAAAGGACCCTTTGTGACCTGCCATTTAGATAACTTGAAATCCATTTAAGCAGATCAACTGGAAAACCTAAAAGGTCAAGTTTATGAATAAGAAGTAAGTGATTTACAGAGTCAAATGCTTTACTAAAGTCAGTGTAAATGACATCTGTTTGAAAACTACTATTAAAGCCTTTTATCACAAATGTAGTGAGCTCTAGAAGGTTTGTAATTGTGGATCTACGTTTAATAAATCCGTGTTGACACGGAGAAATAATTGATCTGCAAAAGTGCTGCAAATGAGGAGTAATAATTTTTTCAAAAAGCTTAGGAATAGCTGACAACTTAGAAATACCTCTGTAGTTACTGGCTTCTAACTTGTTACCTTTTTTGAAAAGAGGAATAACAAATGATTCCTTCCAAATATTTGGGAATTGGGAGGTTTTCTAGAGATAAGGTAAACAACTTGTGAAGAGGTTTGCACAGGGCCTTAGCGCAATACCTAAGCACGCACCCAGGAATACCATCGGGCCCTGGCGAATAAACAGGCTTAATACGAAGAAGATCCAAAAGAAGAGAGCTTTCTGTTAAAGTGGGACAGAATATGAGGTTTGACTTGGGCATGGTGTAAGAATAAGGCTGAGATGAATATTCTAAAGTAGAGTAAGTCGTTTGAAAAAATTGGGCAAATATATCGGCTATTGCCTGATCTGTGGTTCCCGTCATGTTTTCGAACGACAGCGAGGAAGGAGAAGAATTAGATTTACGCTTGGTGTTAACAAAATTATAAAACTGTTTCGGGTCCTGAGAGAACTGGACCTTACAACGGTTTAAGTAACTATTATAACACTGAGCATTAAGCACGGTAAATCTTGACCGAGCACTTAGATATCTAGTAAAAACAGATTGAGAACCGGTATTTTTATATTTCCTAAAAAGTCTGGACTTTACATTTCTTAAGTGTATCCTTGAACATAATTTAAATCAGCCAATACACTCAAAGCCGTTCCATTTCAATTTTTAAGTGGTCTATCAAAACTATTTTTTCATAACTTAAATCTAAACAAATGGATCTGGAAACAAATTTAACGCTAAATATTTCATATATTTCTGGAAACAAAATGAAAGCCAGCGTTGATTTTAACTAAAATTTAAAATATTATTAAATAACTTCTGGCATAAGTTGGAATACACTCTATCCAGTAATATATTTTGCTCACGTTTTACGTTACATTTAGAACAAAAGCACAACTTCCCTTCTGTCAACCATAAATAGTTGGCTTTATTTAACAAGCTATAAAATAAAACTGACAATTTAATTTGACATTCTTAAGGCAAAAACATTCCCGGAATATTCCCGATCTCATTTAAGCTAACAAGAAAATTATTCATAAGTAAATTTAACATTTTGCTTCGTTTTTGTTTAAATATATTGTTATGCAAATGCCATCTTGAATGCCTTAGAATAAAATTAACTTGACTCGCGCTTTTAAATGTAGAATCTATATTTTCCTCTATTAAAAGAATTCGGAATATTATTTCTTAATTTAAAAAAACCACAAAAAAACTCTTTAACTGATCCCTTCTTTATTTTTCTTAAACTTTAATAAAGTCTTCATGACTTTATGTTTAGCTTAAGTTGACATATAACAAGTGAAACAAGTGGCCATCATTTTATGTATATTCTAATCAATCAATGATCTGAAGAGAAGATTTCGAGTGCTACGTTTTTTTAAGTGCAAGGATGCAAAAGCAGAAAATCTGAGACGGCTCGAATTCGTCGAAATCGGAGTTAGCATTGGCGTCGGGGTTTCGAATGGAGGAAAATATTGCTCACATACATTTTGCGACTCGTTGTCGCCAAAAGTCATTTGCAAATGTAGATGAGTCCAAAGGAACCGCAAATATATACATATATGCAATGCAGACGATTAAAAAACTTCCTTCAATATAATTGTACTAGGTATATAATTAATATAATTATTTAACAGATTTCTTGACTACCATATTATATT